GCTCAATAGAAAGTAAATGTCTAGAAAAGAATGATGGCAACATATGTACAAATATGCATGATACAATTGATGTATAGATTGTTATGAGTTGTAAGAGCCCCCGATAAAATGATCTTTTAGTTAAAAAACAAGTCCGGCCTTCTGATGATATGTAAATAATATACGAATGAATAAATTCTAATAGTCTTTTCAGATATTGTGATTATTTGCCCTTAATATTTTTGTAAAGATTAGTTACTTATGTGGAATCAGAAACTACATTAAAAAGAGAAAAAAGAAACTAATGAATTCTATACATTGCTACACTAAAATCCATTAGCTTGTCTTGTACTCAGAATAGATCTTTTACCTATGTATGACTTTTATAACATACAGAGGTCATTTGGGAAATACTGCCTCACTGAATTCTTCAGACCTTCTAGATACTGATTTATTTATTACATGATATTAAAACATTGTGTTAATATCACTAACGATGTCATCCAAAGTCTACTGGTTTTGTGGGTTTTGAAATTTTTGTTTTTCTGAGTTTGTAGAGGTGAAGAATGCAGTGTATACTAGTGTAATTTGATGCTACTGTCTTTGTTCAGAAGGCACCCTGATGGTCTGGGGTTAGGCTCTGGGCAGTTCAAGCCCGCGAGTTAGGCCCCTCTGGAGAAAGATGGGGCTTTCTAGGCCCATAAGGAATGTGTGAGACCTACAACAGCAGTACCACCCTGTCCCATATGTAGGGCTGCTCTGAGCCAGAAATCATCTCCACGGCAATGAGTTTTGAGTTTTTATTTTCAAAATAATATTTTCAGATGTGGGTCCAATCGAAAACTTCGAATTCTCCGCTTGCTTTTCATTCTGAAATATGTAATGAATATTTATTAGCTATTTTCTTTTTTTTCTTTTGTGTTTTTCATTAGATCATGTTAGTATCATAAATTCTGTCCTACTTATGTAGGGTTGCCGTGGCAGATTACCCCGGTGATTGATCAATCTGGGACTCCCCCGATTGATTTCCTCACAGCTGAGGTGGGTGCAGGCTGGTAGCACCGCGTGCTCTTCCTGTGGGCTCCAAGGGACAGCCTTTCTTGCTCTTCCCAGCTTCTAGTGGTGGGGGCGTTTCTTGGCACTTTTATGTGGGGCAGCTTTCCCTTGTATACGTCCCATTGTGAAATAAATAATAACGTAGAATATATTTTATAATTGTATTCATGTCTCGCCATTGTCTGTAAATTTTATGAACCTGGTAAGAAAGATAACCTATGTTTTTATTTAGCCACATTTCCAGCTACATGAGTAGTTGTGGTCAAGATTGATGATTAGTCATTTATTGTTCCTGGGAATTGTAATTCATAGAGAAATGAAAAACAGGAAAACCATCATTATTGTAGCAAGGGACCCATGAAATGTTCAAAATGTAGCCATTTCCAGAGCAAATGTATTCCCTGAGAAAAGATGAATGTAATGGGACTTGGCTACAGGTGCCTCTGAAAGGGATCAAAGTAAAGGTCCAAGATGGAGCGGAAGAAAACCGCCCCACGAGACTCAAAATAATAAAAGAGACAGAGGCTGTTGGAAGCCCCCCCTCCCTTTATGGTCCTGAGACTCCTTTCAAGCCTGGAACCAAATTTACCCTGGGGGGCTCAGCTCTCAAGCCAATCATAAGCAGGACTGTGTACACATCATTAGAACCGTCAACCACACGAGATCATAAGGAAACAACTCAGGAGGCAGGAAGGAGCAGGGAGGAAGGAGAAATGGCAGGGAAGCACAAGGAGAGCGTGGGCAGAGTGCTGTTACTGCACTCGTGGGGAGTGCAGCCAGTCTCACAAATCAAAGTGTGTATGAGCTGTTGAACGGAAACCAGTTCCTGCACACTTCCACCCAAATAACAAGAAAGAGAGAAAGTGTACCAGGAAAAGAAGTCTGTGTGTGTGAATTAAAGTTTCTACTTACTATTTATAATAGAAGATACTTTACAGCTGTGATGACATCTTGGAATGAATATTTCTCATGAGTAAAATAATAACTAAACCATTCTGTGCAGAAGCTCAAAGTTCTTTGGACAGGTAAGTATATAGTATTGAGGTGAAGAAAAGGCTGAAACATACCTTTTCTCACGATGCTCCCCTTGAGCACCTAAAATCTGTATTGAGAGTTTGGAAAGAGTTATTGACATTTGCTTTATTTCACATTTATTAAAAAAGTCATTTAAAATGTGTGTATGCCTGCATGCACGTACATATTCTTGCCTTGCTCTCAATGAAGTGTGAGTTGCATTCAGAGCGCTCCTAACCTAGAAAACCTAACTGATTTTCAGAGTGTGTCTGAGATGGTGAAGATCCGAATTTGCTTTCAGCACCAGAATCCCTATCTTTCTCTTAATGACCATCACAGTTCCAAGTCTGGAAGACCAGAAAGCCAGAGAGAGAGCTATTGTGATCTAGGTGAAGGACTGTCATGCGTAAGGATTTTGTGAGCTCATTTAACCTACAGATTCCGGGTCCCCATTCCCAGAGACTCTGATTATATAAATTCATCAGCTAGAACTCAGGAATCTGCGTTTTAATAAGCTGTGCTAGTGTTTGATGATTTTAGAGTTGTGGTTCTTGGCCAGAGCCCTGGCGGTTGTGGGGGTTACTCATTGGGCTGCTAACTCTAAAGTCAACAGTTTGAAACCACTAGCCCCTCTTTCGGAATAAGATGAATCTTTCTGCTCCGTGAAGAGCCACCGTCTCAGAAACCCACATGGGTAATTCTACTCTGTCCTTACAGGGTTGCTATGGGTTGGAACCAACCTGATGGCAGTGAGTTATTCTTGGGACTAGATGAAGAGCATGTAGAATCTAAAATCTTTTTACTTCCGATTTCAAAGTTGATATCTCATGTTTCACCTGTTTTACATGCAAATTGTAATACCAACCATCTGTAACTACAATTTCATCCCTGAGTTAGCAGTTTGAATACTTAGAAGTTAGTTTACTCCAGGGGTCCCTTCTGTGAAACAAAATCCTCATAAAAATGAAAACATGCCCCGATTTTCCTGAAGCTTCAGATGAATCTAACCAAGATTGATTCATTCTTTAAAAACCTTTCTTAACTGAAGCCAAAAAAGCCTTGGGACAGCAGGCAGCCCCCACATTGGAAACAGGACGTACTCCTAGCTGTGTCTAGGAATCTGTAGGTAAGTCGGAACAGGTGGATATAGTTCTATTTAACTTCACTTAAGTGCAAGAGGTGCCCTGGTGGCCCTGTTGGGTAAGCAGTGGTCTGCTGAAGGAAAGGCCCGTGGTTGAGACTCAGCAGCCTCTGTGAGGGACCAGGCCGAGGCTGTCCTAGTGACTTCCAGTCTTTGAGGCCCTATCACTATTAGATCGACCACTGCCTTTTCAGGGAAAAAAAAAAATTACTCAGTGCCCCCTTGGCAGGTAACAACTTTTGTGCAATAACCTGTAATCCAGGGAGAGTGTAGGTGTCTGATTTTGCCTCACCCGGAATCTGGATCGCTACCTCGCTCCCCAGGGGGGAGTGTCACCTGCTGTGAGTCAGAATAAACTCAATGGCAGTGGACCTTTTTGAATTGTTTTTAGTGCACACACAAAAAAAGGCCTTTTCTCTCATTAAAAGCTTCAAGTGCAGCCCAGGAAAAGAAGAATCTGTTTCAAGTAACCATTAATTCAATCTTTTCAAAGTGAAGGCGATTTTATGTAATATTAAAGGACAAGGACGAGTTGTTTGTGAACTAGGGCATGCCTGTATTTTTCTAATCCAATATTATGTACAACTTTGTTCGGGTGTGTTCTAATGATATACATATTCATAGATGAATCTATTTTGATACCATAGTAATTACCTAATTAATTTATCTGAACCTAAAGTTTTTTGGAAAGCTAAAGCAAGCACAGCAAAATATTTTAACAAAATTTCTACAAATAAGAATTTTTATGATGACTTCCCATATTTCATCAAATAAATCTTAGCCAACTAATGAAAAAATTAATATTTTGTTTTCTTTGTCTCTTGTAGTGTTAAATGTTTACAAAAGACAGTGAAGGATTCTTATCATATAATGTGTAGACCTTGTGCTGGTGAACTTGAAGTTTGTGCTAAATGTGGAAAGAAAGAAGACATTGTTATTCCGTGAGTACTGTTCTGTTTAGATTTTTTAAAGAAATCGATACATACATTTTTTTACTGGAATATTTTGTAACAGAGCTTTTAAGTTGCAGTATATCGTGCTAATGTAGACTTTTTTTATCCCTGGCCACCCCCCAAAATTGTTAGTGAGTTTTTCTATCATTACAATAAAAGTGAAAATTTATAGTTTGATCTTTATATATATGTATGTATGTATGTATATACATGTATATGTATATATCGTATATACTAGAGTATAAGCCAACCTGAATATCCACTGAGGCACCTAATTTTACCACAGAAAAATGTGCTGAAAAACTTGACTTATACTCGAGTATATACGGTATATATAAAGTTTATTAGTGGTTATCAGAAGTGGGAGGGAAGGGGAATGGGAGATTAGTGGTGATAGAATAAACTAACTGAAGAAAAGTTTGGTCATTTCTTTTTAAAAAGTAGAGTAAGTGAGCTTTTATTCTCTGAATGACACTAGCTGGCAGTGAGAACCATGCTGGATGTGTCTCTGGGTGCAGTGGAGTCTTTGCTGATGAGCGTGATCTGTGTCTAGGAGGCTCACGTTCATTGTAGTAGGATTATTCACCTTATATGTCTTTTTTCTTTTATGGATATCATGTAATTAGTTTCCTTGAGCCAACTTTATTGACAACAGTATTATAACTGTTTAAATCTTGAGCTAATAGTACTTATCAGGGATCTTTTCCTGGACACTCATTTCATTAGGCTTCTGTTCATTGCGAAACGTAGTAGTCAAGGTCTTTTAAAGCTACACTATTAACTAATGAAAACCTGAAAATAATCACAAGTTATTTTTCCTTTCATCACCAGGTTTAACAAGGAGCCAGAAAAGACAGAAAATACTGAAAATAATCTAAGTTCCAACTGTAGAAGAAGGTGCTTAAGAAATGAAGATGAAAGTGATGGTGATTTAGATTTTGATGTTGATTTAGATGACGCTGAAGAAGACAATTAAGTGAACTAATAAAATTACATCAAATGTCAGCCCAACAACATGGAGTTCTGGCCGTTTGATTTTTTTTTTAATCCTATAAAATCGGAAAACTTATGGAAAATAGTCACAGTTTATACGTGGACAGCATAAATTAGGTATGATAAAACTTCAGTCATTCTGTAGCTTTCTTCCACGGTTTCTTTTGGTTTGTTTGTTTCTTACATTAGTAAATTCCATCAACTAGAATATTCCCAAAGTGAATACTGGGATGTTGGATGGGAATTCTTTTGAAGACTCTTATCCATTATCCAACTGAAAATGATTAAGAATTGGTGGTTACATCTCAATAAACTGTTTATTAAAGAAAGAAAAGAATTGGTGGTTACATAAGAACT